CCCCAAAACCCCAAAACCCCAAAACCCCTCGGTGTAAAGGTTAAATTGACATGACTATGAGAAATTTGAAACTTGAGGTATGGGTAATTAAGGTTTTTGAATTAATATTTATCAAGCATTGCCTTCCTTCTGATCTTGTCAAGATCAATCATACCTATACAACATTGGATAATTTTTCAAGATGGAATGGAAATATTGGGAGGATAGGAGTTTAAAGATGAGTGCTGGGAACAATCAGGGCATTTCGAAAGAGAAAGTAGAAATTTTAGATATAAGTCTGGCTATATGATTTTAGATCTGCGATAAATGTTTTGAATAAAAATCTTGATTTTATATGAAAGCTAAAGTAGCATTATTCTTCATCATAAGAAATTATTGGACTCTGGCGTTCTTGCCACCAAGACTTAATCTGTACTTACCTCCAAAACTGCTATACCTGCTGACCCCATATTTACTTTCGTACATCTTATCATCTCTTCTGATTTGCTCTATTCAGTAAAATGTTATAACTTTATTTTTCAACAGTATTTTTAAATTGCTAAGCACCAAATGTTCAGACAGATGATATCTCGCAGTTTTTAAATGATTAATTTACTTCTCTAATTACCTTGAGAGACAAGATAGTTAAGGAAAGAGGAGGATTTACTAAAAAAAATGAAACTCTTTAGACCGAATGGATTAAATTTGTATAGTTTTATGGATAAATCATCACCAGTTTCCTAAGCAAGATGGCATTAATTTATGAATCCTTCAAATTGGTGATATCTTTCCTGTTTTGCAAACCTTAGGAAACAAAGCGAAATAGAACGTCTTTTCTAGCAATGTGTTCTTCAAACTTGGCTGCTAAATTTTATGCTCAAGAAATTTAGTCCATATTTTAGTTCAAAATCTAAAAGTTAGATCTTCAACAGAGCCTTTCTATTTTCTTAGAGCTCACTAAGTAGTAACAAATTCTTGAGAGGGTGGGACTCTAAGTGAATTTTCAAATAGTTAAGTTAACACTATCATTTTGTATATAGTACCTATCAGATTCAAGAAATTGATCTGAAATTTTGGTAATATAGCCTACCTTGAGAATTGTTATTCACAAGTCTTCGTAAAGAAATAGTCTCTATTGCTGCTATTCTTCTTTTCTTCTCATTATCAACAGCATTTCTGCTAGCAGGGGTGAATCTATGAAGGTTATTAGAGAAAATACTTCATCCCAAACTCTTCTTCTTTGGTCTTTACTGCAGTTGACAAAGGCAGTTTCAAGCCTTTGTAGATACCTGGACCTAACTTTGTATTCTCCAAGGCATTGTAATAAGGATTTGAAGTACTGTTGAACTTTCCAATACCTATGTTTAGTCAGAAATATACCTTTCTCTATCTTTTCAGAATGCGCTCTCTCCCTCATCAGCTTTTCTAATTCATCCTGCTCCCTTATTTTCTGATAATTTGAGTAAAAGTCTCGAGGATTTTCTTTCTCTTTCATTCTAGTTGGCTTTCTGATCTTTCTGTATTTGTTCGGATATAACTGATAGGCTAAAAGATGATATCTCAGAATACCTTTCTTCTCTTCATATTTTGGATATAGTTCTGTATCTCTTAACTCTGTAGGTTTGCCAAACTCAGTCCTTGGAAGTCTGAAGTTCAACCAGACAGGGTTCTCAGGCATGAATAATTTATTTATTAATCTTCTTGTTATCAATTTTAACTTCGGTTTCTGTGAAATTTTGAGTTCAATATCTCTCTTCCATTTCTTGTACAATAGGATAGGAAAGAATTTTCTCTGCAGTTGGTCGTAAATCTGTATCAACTATCAACATCATATTGACCAACTGCTCAATATCATCTGAGTATCCATACTGAGGATCAATTTTCGGGACTGGTGTCGTTTTGAGCAGATTTATATCAAATTTTGATCAAGCCTCTTTGAAAGGAGGGTCATGCATTAGACACTCAAATAGGACTCATCCTAAGGACCAAATATCACTTCTTCCATCATACTTTTTATTTTCCCAAACTTCAGGACTGGCATAGTAAGGAGTACCAGTTTGAGTATAATTCATCCCATCTTTAAGTATCTTGCTTACATTCAAATCTCCTATATTTTCACTAAGCCATCTTGGTATAAGAAGATATTAGCGCTTTTAATATCTCTGTGAACAATATGCTGAGCGTGCAATGACTTCAATCCTCTCAAGACCTGTATAATAATATTCCAGATTTCCCCTTCATCTATCAACTCGACATCCATTTTTGCTTTCTTGATCTTTGCGAAGACATCTCCTTCAGGAGCGAAGTCCATCACAAGGCACAAGTATTTGCTCTCGTCAGATAGAAAAGAGTCCTTGTACTGAACTACATTAGGATGCTCAATGCCTGATAACAAGGTGATTTCATTCAGAGCATTCATTCTTTCTTTATAGTTCAATGGAGATATATTGATCTTCTTTATCCCATAAATCCTTCCATCAGTTATTTTCTTAGCCTAAAATTTAAGTGGATAGGGTACCTTATAGACTGTGGAATATGCTCCAGAACCGACTTCTTGTATCAATTCGTATAAATCAAGCGAGCTCATATTTTTCTGAACGATTCAATATTTATTATAAATCTTGGGGTTTTGGGGTTTTGGGGTTTTGGGGTTTTGGGG